GTCTATGAATTTATAATAATCTTCCTGGTTGAAAATTCAGGTCATTAAAAAAGTTCCTATCATCATAATAATGCTTCAGAAAACACAAGATTTCAAATACTCGTTTCCTTGGTAAAAACTCAACATGTAAATTTGTGGCTAAAGGCTATGTTTATTTTAAAGTATTTTGATTTATGACCATTTCAGAGATGTTGGGAAATGATTGCTTCCTGGGATAGTGTAAGAAAGTTCCCATTTCTCTTCATTTTTAGGTACTATCTTAAGACCAAAAGGCATTAAAAAATTCTTAAATTTTCTAAAAATTTCTATTTCCTTGATCAGTTACATGCTTTCATTAGTAAATGTCTTAATTTTATATTGCTTGTATTGTCATGATGAAACACTATGACATAGGCAACTTATAAAGCATTTAATTGGGTTCATAGTTCCATAGGGTTAGAGTCCATGACTACCATGGCAGGGCAGCAGGCACACAGGCACTGAAGTAGTAGCTGAGAGCTATCATCTGATCTATAAGCATGAGACACAGGGAAATACAGATTAGGAATGATGTGGGCTTTTGAAACCTCAAAGCCCATCACCAATGACACACCTCCTCCAATAAGACCACACCTCCTAATCCTTCCCAAACAGTTCCAGCAACTAGGAACCAAGCATTCAAATATGTGAGACTATGGGGACCATTCTCATTCAGCCCACCTCAGTAAATTTCCTTTCATGTTCTTGGCCATCTTCTTTAAGTGGCAGTATGTGCAGTCTTACAAGTTAACCAGAGGAAGACTTGATACATTTTGAGAATATTAGTGCACCATGCATGTTGCAATTATTTATTTTTTTCAGTTACCTTTTGGCTTTTTCAGTTACCCAGTAAGTTTTGTTTTCTTGTCAATTGTGTATATCTCTTAATGATTTCTGATTTGTGGCATTATATTTAAAGGTTTTTTTAAACTCAGGATTTCATATTATCCTATTTTTCTACATTATTTTATGCAGTTAATCTTTCTTTTCACCTATGTGATTATATTTTTCTGTATGTGTTTGCTATTATGTATGTCAAAAGGTATTATATGATGTGTGTTAGATCATATACTAACACATAATTATAATAGTAACAGCAGCTATTGGATTTGGATTGGTTTACTGTAGTTTCATTGTATGTATTTGACCAATGAATAGCTTGACAATTCTGTGTTTTGACAATTATCCTCATATTTTTATTATAAAAAATTGACAGAAATCTTGCCTGTGAAACTCTCTACACTCTGTGCTACTTCTGGAGGTGTAATTCATCTACCTGAGTGGTTTTATAGTGGGGCAGTTTTGGTGATGACCATGTGTGATGACTAACACAACTGTAAAGGTCATCAGAAAAGGGAGTCCCCCAGTGACTCAGCCATGTGTCAAAACCACTACACTCTCAGAGCGTTACCCTCACAATGTTCCTAATTAAGCATTTCCCTTCCTTGTGGCTGAGGATTGAACCCACAGCCTCACATGACTGATGTGAAGATTGTTACAGCTTCTGAGACACAGGTACCCTGGAACAACACTTGTCTACACATCTCTATACACAAATATCAGGGAAGAAAACCAGTAGGATATGGGGGATTTAATTTCTTTAGACTTCTACCAATATGTTCTACTGTCTCTCTTTTTGACTCCCGCCATTCTGCTAGATGTGAGGTATTGTTTCATTGGGACTCTGACATTTCCCTAACCATTGATGTCCAACTTTCTCTTTGTGAGGCTTCTGCATTGCCCACTGTGCTGAGGTCCCGGGAAATACAAATCTGTAAATAGCAGAGGGGAGGCTTGGGGACGTAGCTAGGTTGGCACAGCATTAGGCATTCGTGAAGCCCAGCACAGCAAAGAAATGGGTGTGGTTATACACCTGTAATTGTAACATTTGGAAGGTAGGGAGAGAGGTACCACAAGTTCAAGATCATCCTTGGTTATACAGCAAATTTGGGGCTAGCCTGGGCTACGTGAGATTCTGCCTAGAATCCGGGCAGTGGTGGTGCACGCCTTTAATCCCAGCACTCGGGAGGCAGAGGCAGGTGGATCTCTGTGAGTTCGAGACCAGCCTTGTCTACAAGAGATTCTGCCTAGAAGAAAGAAGTAGAAAGGGAGGGGAGTGGAGGAGGCGGGAAGGAGGGGGAGGTAATGCAGGGAAAGTGTAGATTTGGTTTCTGCTTCTGTGAGGAAATTAGTAACTAGAGTGAGGGGAAGGCCATCGATACTGGGCTCAGGTCCAATTGACAGTACTCTTGTTGATAACAACACTTCTAATACAACAATGCTAGCTACTGTTTTAGGTGCTTTTTCATATGTTTTCTTGAGAACAGCAGAAGGTCTGGAGATAAAGCTCAGTGTGTAGAGGGCTTGTCTAGCATGCCTGAGGCCCTGGGTACTACAGGGGCTCAGCATGGTGACACACACCTATAAGCCTCTGTCCTTGGGAGGCAGAGGCAGGAAAAGCTGAAGCCACAGGACATTCTCTCCTGTACAGCAAGTTAGAGGCCAGCCTGGGCTACTTGAGTTTCTGTCTAAAAGCAAAAGCAATACTTGAGACACAACTCATAGCTCTGTGAATAGTTGTTTCATAACCATGCTTGAAAGCTTCCCTCAAGAAATCATGTCTTTCAAGCTACCATTAAT